GCTCTTGCTCAGGCTGGTTTCGAACTCCTGAGCTCAAACGATCTGCCCGCCTCGGCCTCCCAGAGAGCTAGGATTACAGGCGTGAGCCACCGCGCCCGGCCCTGAATGACTTTTTAAGCACGGGAATCAGATCGTGTCACTCCTCTGGTCAAACCTCCCCAGGGGCTTTCCCCAGCACTTACCATAGAATCCAGATTCCTTATCCAGACTTAGGAGGTGTGGTCTGGCCTCTGCTCCCCCCGTGCATGACCTCCTGTCATGTCCTTACTGTCGCTCCCGTGGACTCCTTCACTCCTCTCAGTGATCTCACTGGGTGGACGGCCGTCGTCCATTCTCAGATGAGAAGGCTGCAGCCCTGTGAGGGGTAGAGCTGCTGTCTCCTGCTCCTCATCTGATGGAGCATTTCTGCCTTCATCCCACGTTTGCTGCTAGTTACTGCCCATTTTCTCTGCCTTATGTATGTATGTGTGAATGTATGAATGAATGTATGAGAGGGTCTTGCTCCTTCACCCAAGCCGGAGTGTAGTGGTGTCATAATAGCTCCCTGCAGCCTTGAATGCCTGGCCTCAGGCAATCCTCCTGCCTCAGCCTCCCGAGTAGCTGGGACTACGGCACATGCCACCATGCCTGGCTAATTTTTTTATCTTTTGTAGAGATGGGGTCTCGCTGTGTTGCCCAGGCTGGTCCCAAACTCTTGGCCTCAAGTGATCCTCTCTGCTCAGCCTCCCAAAGTGCTGGAATTACAGGTGTGAGCCACCACACCAAACCTTCTTTGCCCTTCTTGATAACAAAATTCCTCCTCAAAAGAGCTGTCTAGACTCATGCCTTCAGTTTCTCTCTGTCACTTAATTCGGCATTCCCCAGCACCGCCCTGGTCTGGGTCATCGTGGTCTCCATGTCACTAACTCCCCAGCTCAGCCCTCGGGCCGCACCTTCTTTGGCCCTGAGCAGGGAGGGACACAGCGGTGGCCCCCTCGTCCCTGAAACTCTCCCCTTGGATTTGGGCGGCACATGCCCCCGGTCCTCCCACCTCCTGGGCTGCTCCTTCCCAGGCTCTTCCTTATTCTGACCTCTGATCCCCAGGCCCAGGCTGTCTTCTGAATCTTCCCTCTGTCTTCCCTCCTCCCTCTGCGATCCCCCCAGTGCTCTCCCTCTCCCCATTTCATCTCTGGCCCACACCTCTCCTCTGCATTCCAGACTCCTATATCCAGCTGTCTTCTCCGCCTCACCATTGTCTTATGTTAACCTCACATCCAAAATCGAGGTCCTAATTTCTGCCCCACTTGCTTTGTTCCTCCCTTGTGAATGACAACTGCACAGACTGAATATGTCAGCCGTTAACCTTGGGATTGACCTTGATTGAGTTCTCTCTTTTTCACATATTCCTCATCCTGTCCATTAGCACATCCTGCTGACCCTGCCTTTTACATATTTCTAGAATCGGATGACAGATGCTCCTTGACTCATGCTGGGGCATATGTCCTGATTATGTCCTGATAAACCTATCATAAGTTGAAAATATCGTAAGTCGAAAACGCATTTAATACACCTAACCTGCCGAACGTCGTAGCTTAGCCGAGCCTACCTTAAACGTGCTCAGAACACTTAGCTAGCCCTCAGTTGGGCAGAATCACCTACCACAAAGCCTGTTTTATAATAAAGGGTGGAATGTCTCATGAAATGTATTGATGTTCTATTAAAATGTGATTGTTTTCACACCATTGTAAGGGGGGGAATGTCAATACTTCTCTCCCCCGGGGAGCCTGTGATAGCCTCCCACGCAGTGCCCTTGCTTCTGTTCACCTTGCAGCAGGCAGAGGAAGAATCCTGTGAGAATTCATGGCCAGTCGGATTGTGTCACTCCCTGTCCCCAAACTCTCTGCAGGCTTCTTAACCTCATCTCCTCTGCCCTCACGCCTCACTGCCTTCCAGCCACTTTCACCTCCTGCCTGTCCCTAAATGTGTCAGCTGCACACTTGCCCCAGGGCCTTTGCACTTGCTCTTCCATCTGCCTGTGATGTCCTAACTGGGATGTCTGTTTGGTTCCATGAAGTCTCTGCTTGGTGTCACCTCCTCAAGGAGGCCTCCCCTGGCATGATTGCCCTGCCACACTTGGCTCTGACCTTGCTTTCTTGTTTCCCAGCAAGTGTCACCATTCAATAGTGTATCACAGATTTCGTTGGTGACTGGTTCATCTGTTGCCACGTTAAGATGTAAGCCTCACTAGGTGTGGTGGCTCACACCTGTAAACCCAGCACTTGGGGAGGCAGAGGCAGGAGGATTGCTTGAGGCCAGGAGTTTGAGACTAGCCTGGGCAATATAGGGAGACCCTTGTCTCTATAAAAGATAAAACAGCCAGCCGTAGTCGTGTGTACCTGTAGTCCTGGCTACTTGGGAGGCTGATGCAGGAGGACTGTTTGAGCCTAGGAGTTTGAGGTTACAGTGAGTTGTGATCACACCGCTGTACTCTAGCCTGGGTGACAGCATAAGACCCTGTCTGTAAAAAACAAAAAACAGTATGTAAGCCTCATGGGGCTAGGGGCTTTGTCTAGTTCACTGTTCTTTCCCCTGCACATAAGATAGTTCCTGGCCTGTCGTAAAGGCTCTGTGAATATTTTCTCCGTGGGCAAACACTGAAACAAACCAGCAGTCGCAGTGAGAGGAGGGTGCTCTCCTGGTCTGCACGAGGCACAGTAGGTGAAGCCGGTGGCCTAGGGTGCCGGGGCTGAGCGTCCCCTAAGCCTTGGCCAATGGCCACACAGCAGCCCCCAGCCTACTTCCCATCAGCTCCCCAGTGCTTTGCCCACATCAGGGTCTCTGGACAACAGCTCTCCGGTCACCGGCCAGCCTGAGGCCTTCTTCTCGAAGCTGCAGGAGTTCCGGGAAGCCAACAAGGAGGAGTGTATTTGCAGCTACCCCGAGTGAGTGGGGACGGCTAAGAGTGGTTGGGGTGGCTGAGGGACTCCATTGCCCCGGCCACTCACCCCCTTGCCCTCACAGACCCCAGCTCCTGGGCCTGCCCAAGGGCGGCGGCGCGGAGGAAGACCACGAGTGTGAGTGCGAGCGCTGGGCCAGGCCGCAGAGTAGCCCAGCCTTGCGCCGCCCTGGCCCTCAGCCCCATGCACGTCCTGCCCTGCCCCAGAGCAGTCCTGATCGAAGTGTGGGTGCCTGGGGAGGCACCTGGGAGGGAGGCCTGGGTCTGGACAGGTTGGCCAGGCCCTTGTGCGTGGTTGGGCTGAGCTGAGGCCTGGCCTCAGGATTGGGGGACTAGGGGCTGCCCTGTGTGATGCCACCACCACTAGCCCCCTGGGGGTGGACCCCAGGCTCTGGAAGAGGGGCTGGCGGGCCTGTGTGGTTGGGGGCGGCGGGGAACCCCGGGATCTGGGTTCCTCGGCTCAGGGGGACCGGCTGCTTCTCGTGGGCCTCGCAGGCGTGTACTGTTACCGGGTCAGCCGACGCCTGTTTCTGGTGCCTTTGGATCCCGGCACCCCCTGCCGCCTGTGCAGGACACCGCGGGACCAGCGGGGCCCTGAGACCCTGGCGGACCCGGTGCAGGTCAGGTGAGTGGCTAGAACGTCGGGACACCTGGGGGGCAGAGCCTGTGTCCTGCTGGTTTTGAGGTGGGGGAAGGTGGGCCTGGGGCTGGGACCCCCAGCAGCAGGGAGGCGTCTCAGTGGTCTTCCCTGCACCCCCGCACAGGGTGAGCATCCCGCTGTCGATCCTCGACCCCCCGCACCGGTACCGCATCCACCGGCGTAAGAGCTTTGATGCCTCCGACATGCTGGCCCTGCCGCGGGTGAGCAGCTGTGTGGGGCCGGGTGGGGCCGGCTGGGGCAGGGCCGTCCCCACATGGATCCTGAGGCCTGGGGAGGGCCGCAGAGCAAGGCTGGGCTTTGGCGTGCAGGCCGGGCCTCTTTTGTCACCCACGGGGGGCTTTTTCCCTGAGGCAGGAGGGAAGCCCCCCGCCCTGTGGCTTCTAGGGCATGTCCGCCTGCGCGCTGCCACGAATGGGCCCTGTTTATCAAGCTCTCGTGTGCCGCAGGCACAGTCCTTAGGAGGGTCACCTCTCGGAGCCCCACAGCAGCCAGGAATCAGGCGCTGTCATCCGCACTCTGCACGTGGGACTGGGGCGGGGGCGGTGCGAGAGCTGGGATTTGAACCCAGGTCTTCACGCTGCCGTAGTGCCTCCGGTAGAGACGTCCTTTCCCGTGTCCTCAGGTTAGGGCGGGGTCGGCGATGGCCTACACCCCAGCCGAGCACGGGCGGCTGGGTTCTGGGGTCGGGGAAGGGGAAGGCAGCTGGGTCTGTGAAATGTCACGGTGCCATCCTCGGGCCGTCGCGGTCGAGGTGGGGCGGTTCAGCAGAGTAATCTGTCGTGCGGGTGCTTAGGCAGAGCCCACACACAGGACGTCAACGTCACCGTCCTGCCTGCCTGCCGTCTCAGCTCCCAGGGCCCTGAGTGTGGCTGGATCTGCAGAGAAGAGAGGGGGGCCCGGGGAGCCTCCGTCTGACTGTTCAGGGGGCACCTCCACCCTCATGGGGACACAGCCCCACAGACTGATGCCTTTAACCCCTGCTCTCCACAGCACTGCCTGCTGGGCTGGGACATCTTCCCTCCGAAGTCCGAGAAAAGCTCAGCGCCCAAGAGTCTGGACCTCTGGTCCTCTGTCTCCCCCGAGGCCCGGCGCCGGAAGCTGTCAGCGGCCAGCCCTTCCCGCCTGGTGCGGTTTAGGTCGTGTTCCAGCCTGGGGCACCCCTAGGAGGGACACGTACTTTGGTCAGGCCTGGGGACTGCAGAGTTCCCCCGGGGGTAGGACTGGGGTGGGGAGTGCGGAGCCTGGGAGCGTCTCTGCAGTGGCCTGTCCCCAGCCCAGACCCACGGTATCCCTCAGGCCTCCCCCACTCCTTCCACCTGCCCTGCTCTAGCCGGGAGGGTGACCCTGACTGCACGATCCAGGAGCGGGTGAGGCTGGAACTGGGGACTGCCCCCCAGGTGGCCCCCCTGACACTTCCCCATCCTCCATCCAGGCTTTGCCAGTGCGGGCCCCGCCCCCAACCCCAATCTGGTCAGAACCCCAGGTCGCCTGGCCCCGTGCCCCACGGCAGAAACCTTGAGGACTGACCACTTGGAGGGACAGCGCTCCTGCCACCTCTAGCCTCTGCCCTCTGGCAGGGGCACCCACTGCATGGAAGCCTCCACCTGGTCTCGGCTGGCGGTGGCTCCGGCCCTGCCCTGCTAGGTCGGGCAGGTGGGCCGCCCAGGCCTGTCCCCTGCCTGGGGTTCACAGGGGGCACTTCTGGGTGGAAGGTAAGGGGATTCTGTGGCAGGCTTGTAAATAAAGCTCAGGTCTGTGCAGCTCCGAGTCCTGAGTGTCTGTCCTGCTGACGCCCTCCCCTCCCCTCCCCTCCCTGAGGAAGGAGGACACCCTGACAGCCTGGGCTGGGCTGTGTGCACCCGTCACCGTGAGGGCGGCTCTTTCTGTAGCTCCCCGGCTCCATGTAGATGGCCTCCCACCAGAGGGCGGGGTGGGGGTCCCCAAAACAGCCTGAGGGAATGTCATCGTTAAACAGCCATCTCAGCAAGGGCCTCAGCTGACACTGTGGGTCGTGTCGAGTGAGCTGTCCCCTTCTTCTTGGTCCCTGAAACCAGAATCTGTTGACAGAGGGGCTCTCTGGACGTCCCTGGGCCGGGTGGCTGCTCCACTCCTGTCTCCAGCCCAGCCCTGGGAGCCATGGGTGGTCCAGAGCCCCAGCAGGTACAGATGGGGAAACCGAGGATGGGGCATTGAGTTGGGGGCAAGGTTGGCAGAGAGCCCAGGCATCCCCTCGGGGATTAGTAAGCAGCCCTGTCTTTCCTCCACCTCTTGTGTGTGTTAGGTTGAATATGAAATTCCTGTTTTTGTGGGACAAAAGTAGAATAATAGGGAAAGTGGAGGCATTTTTCTAAGTGTTCTCACTTAGAGGGGTGGAACTGGGCTGTGCTGGCCTGGGGCTCCTGCCTAGAGCTCGTGAAGCCGCGAACTCCTTTCTCTTCCCGTTGTTCACGTCCAGAGTGTTAGGTTGAGCTGGGTTATGCTGCAGTGACACGTTAGCGCCCTGAATCTTAGTGGTTTCACGTAAAGGCTTATCACTGGCTGATTTGGTCACACTACACGTCCTTCATGGGTCACATGGTTCCACGATTGGCATGTCCCCGGTCACTTCACAGGGTCACTTCTCACGGTTCATTGGCTAGGACCAGGCATGGGGTCGGGACATGGAGGGGGCTCCGGGGCTATTTGGTGAGCAGCACTTTCCTCCATGGCTCACCTGAGTGCCACCAGCTCTGTCCCTGCGAAGGCAGGGGTGCAAAGCTCCCAGGCCCTGGGCGCAGACACCATTAACAAAAGAATAGGCAATATCGATTCTTGCCTAAAGTCTTCCCTCACTTTTTCCGGGGTTGCAAACCTCAAGTGACCAGACAGGTAAGGTGATTGGGGGTGACGGGTCCTGGTGAGCTCACGTCTCTTCCAAGGGCTTTTTCAAGGTCAAATGTCTACTCGATCCAAGCCGTATGTGTCTGAAGGGCAGATGCAGCAGGAGGTGTGCCGCTTGGTTCCGGGACCTGGAGAAACAGAGTCTGTTTGAGCCCTGCTTTCAGTTCTTTGGGGGGTGTACCCAGAGTGCAATTGCAGGATCATATGGTAACTGTATCTTTAAATTTTTAAGTCACCACTGTGCTGTTTCACTTTCTCTCCAGCAGTGCATAAGGGTTCCAGTTCCTCCTCATCCTCACCAACACTCGTTTTCTGTTTTTTTGATAGTCGCCATCCTCATGGATGTGAAGGGTATCTCATGGTGGTTTCGATTTGCATTTCCCCGGTGGCTAGTGATGTTGAGCATCTTTTCATGTGCTTATTGGTCATTGTATATCTTCTTTGGAGAAATGTCTATTCAAGTCCTTTGCCTGTTTTTTAGTTGGGATTTTTTTTAAATTGTCCACATGTAATCTTCAGTCAAAGAACCTGAGAGAGCAAGGGGTTTTGTTGGAAATTCTTTGGCAAGAGGGAGAAGAGAATCTAGAAGGCTTTCTGTCAAACAAAAGTCACAAAATTTACATATGTGAGATCAGCTTATAGGTTCAGCTGTGTATAACAGAGACCCAAATTGCAATAGCTTAAACCATATAGAAATGTTTGTTTCTTTCCCTAACAGTCCAGGCAGGAATGCTGTCGTGGGTCTATTAAAGTGTCAGGGCTTTAAACAATTCAAATTCTTTTGAAACTTTAGAAGGCTTCCAGCCTGTTTGCTTCCAGTCCGTTCCATGAGCAAGAAACCAGACCAAGGTCTCCAGACACTGTGTTTGATGAAACCTGCGTTGCCATAGGTGGAAAGACTCACCCTCACTTTGTGTAGCGCCAGGGCAGGCACTGCTGGTCACACTCGGGTGCTCGCTGATTTCAGAGATGTTACACTGTGGAATAATTTGGTCTCAAGTTGATGAGATGCAAAAGGTCTAAGCCTGAGAACTCCGGCCTTTCCATGTACCGACCTCTGTGCTCTGCCCATCCGGAGCTCATCGAGTGGCAGCCTCCCTGGCGCCGTCTGGAGCGATCAGCTGGGGTGGGAGACAGCAGCCTTGACCTGACCCCGCTGCTGGGCTGCCTGGGAACACTCCAGGGAGGTGCCAGAGGCGGCCCTGGGCACCGACTTCTGTCCTGCCCATGCTGCCTCTCCAGAGCCACTTCCTAGGACTGTTCAGTTCAGTTCGGGCCGCGGGCTTTCCAAACCTCAGGGGCCCCAAGAAAGAAGGTCCCAGGCAGAGAGGCCCCGGGGCACAGCTCGTGTCTCCCAGCTCTGTTTCACTCAGCCTGCCGCCTCCACCTGCTGTTCCCCAAATGTCCCCACTGTTCCCCCAGGCGTCTGCAAGCCGCCCCTAATTCTTCCAGGCCCTTCACTCCCTGTAACCTGGGTGCCAGGATGCTCCTCTTGTCCACCTTTGCCCCATCCAGATCTCGGCTTGGGCATCTCTTCTTTCCAGAGGACACCCCTGAGGCTCTGGGCCACTGAGGCCTCCCCGCACGCCGCCTTCCAGGGCCTGCCCGGTACTGATAACTGACAGCAGAGATAGCATTGTTCTTCCTAGTTGAAATGTTTTTATTTTGTTTTCTCGAAAGTCGTGGCTAAGTCGTGTTCCAGGATTAGGCTTTTTCCGCTAGCCGGGTTTCTTCCCCGCTGGGCGAAGGTGATCGATGGATGCCTTCCTTTGTCTGAACGTGGGAGCCCTGACACGCCTCGCACGCACCGCCCTCCCAAACTGACACCGTCCTCTTCTCTTCTCTCTCTCTCTTTTTTTTTTTTGTCCCTTCCAAGTACATAGCATAAACCCCAAAGGAAAAAAGCAGGCTCACGTACTTCTTCCAAAACTGGTGTCTTGTGTCAGTTATTTCTTAGAAATAAGAACAGAGAGTCACACGCTTGAAGCTCAGACTTGGGGGGGAGGGGAGCAAGGGCAACATACGTAACCTAAACATCTGTACCCCCATAATATAAAAAAAAAAGAACCGAGGGTGTGACTCCTCCATTGCCCGCACCGTAGCATAGACAGAGGCCCTGTCACAGCTCATCCTCCTGGACCCGCCACGCTGGGGATAGTCGGCCGAGGGCAGGGAGGCCGATGCCTCAGTAGAGACACGTGGATCTGGCCAACGCTCTCCAGATAAAGCTCCACTCCTTGATGTGGTTTGTAAGCCCTCCACGATCCGTCCATCCATCCATCCGCTCATTCATTCAACCACCAACCGGCACGTGCGTTGAACCCTCACTGCGTGCCAGGCACCATTTAGGCCCTACAGACACGGCGGTGAACCGGACAACGTGAGCACCGATAGCCGCAGGAACCTGCCCTGTGGGGCCTCCGTGCTGGTGAGATGAGCCAGTGCGTGGCGTAGAAAATGTGTCAGGTGGCGGGAAGTGCTGGGAAGAAACCCAGCGCAGGGCCCGACCTCACGTCTCTGACCCACGTCTCGCCCTCCCAGGCGAGGTTCCGGCCCTGCCGAAGCTTTTTTCTGGTTCTTAAACCACAGGCTCCCCCTGGCCTCTGGTCTTCATGCACCCTGAGGCCTCTGCCCAGGGCTCTCTTCCTCCCACCAAACTCCTACTCAGGCCTCAGCTTCTTTGTCCGCTCCTCAGAGCCCTTCCCCAATCCCACGGAACTGGCCAAGGCTCCCGGAGTTGGATTCTGCAGCCCCCTCTGCTCTCCCCACTGCAGACTTAGTGACTCTCAACTGTAAGACCCTTGAGGGCAGGAACCAAGCCTGTCCCATCCTCAGCACTATCCCCAGGGCCTTGTACAGCACATGGCGTATGATGGACGTTCGGTAAATGAATGTTGAACGACAATGGAGTGAATGAGCACCGGGCCTCGGGAAAACAGAGGCCGGACAGCCTGGGACCCGAGGTGCGTGTCTGGGGAACGTGGCGCTGGGTGCTGAGGGGCTGCTGTTTTAGTCGTTACTGGTTTTAGCATATCCTGTCGCCGTGTGTCTCAGGCAGATGGTGGGGGCCTTGCTCAGCACGATCCAGTCCCCCAGGGGAGTCTGTAGCCCCCTAGGGTGGGGAGTGGGAAGTCGCTGGGGACAGCTGTGGCATCTCCACCTTGGAAGCTCTTCCAACATCTGTCCGCAGCTGCAGGCCCCGGTCCCTTGGTGGGCAGATGGGGGTGTGTGGACACAAGCCAACATTCCCTTGCCTCCCTGGGGGCCCCTCCAACTTGCCAAAGCATGGGAGCGTCCGCTGGCTCCTGTCTGCCCAACCTGGAGGGAGGCTGCAGAAGGCCGTTGTGCCCGAGGGGTGCAGTGGCCCCTCGACTCCTACCTCTCTGTCATGGAGGTGAAGTGTGCACGGCCCAGAAACACACAAAACGCTGGATTTTGCAGAATTATTAATATTTCCCCATGTGCTTTGAATGTGACATTCTGATGTTCTGAGAATTTACATCGGTTCAACAAGGCTTTGGCTCTAGACTTGCTCCGAGCTTTTTAGCCTAATCTGGGGGAGGGCGCAAAACGTAGCTTCAAAGACCCCCAGCGTTGCCACTCCCTGACTGCGTGACCGTGGGCACGTCATGTAACCTCTCTAGCTCCGTTTGGTCATCTGCACGAGGGTGATAACGCCAGTGAGAGGTGGACCAGATCCGACGAGCAGGGACCCAGCGCAGGGCTGGCTGGAGAAGGGCTCTTGATAAATAAGACATCGAGATTGTCATCAGCTCTTCCTGTCATAAGATTCACGTCTTCCAGTCACCCAGAACTGAGCGACACCCTGGGTGGGCGCAGGGGCCGCCCTCTCTGAATTCGCTCTGGCTCAC